AGGGAGGGAGGGAGAAAGGGAGAAGAGGAGGGAGGGAGGGAGGGAGAAAGTGGGGTAGGGAGGACCATTGTAGATAGGGAATCGACCACTGGAAGAGGTTTAAGGTTATGGGAAAGTGTAATTGCTCGAGTTCGCATAGCTGGATTCATTCGCGGCTCTATCTCACCGGCTCTGTCCTACCCATCCGACTTGCCTTTCCTGTCCGCAGGCGGGCTTTGACAAGGCTGTCACCGTACCTCGCCCTCTCCTTGACCTCTGTACGAAGGAGGTGCTTGTGATGGAATACATCCCCGGAGTCAAACTCACCGACATGGTCCGCAGCAGGTATGTATAGGGAGGGCAAAAGGGAGGGAACGAGTGCTGGATGGTCGGCTGAGGCTTGATTGCTCCCTAAGAATTTCCAAGAGGGGTGGCTCACCACGCCGTGTCGACTCGGTTCACCTTCTCGATCCGCCAGGCCCTCAGGAGCTCCCCAGCAGAAAGCGGGATTCTGGGCCCGCACGCTGGGCGCTTACTACAACAAGCGGTGCGGGGCGAGTGGGAAAAGGGTTAGGGTTAGGGTTAGGGTTAGGGTTAGAATTAGGGTTGAAAAGGGCGGATGAACGAGGACGGCTTTGGTCCTGGGCAGCGACTATTAGGGCTACACGTTGGCTCTTGCGTAAGCATGATGTCGCCCCACGTGATGGGGTCTTGGTCCTCTTCTCCCTCACAGGTATGCTCGATATTTGGTGGACACGGTGGTAAGAGTTCACGGTCATCAGATCTTGAAGATGGGTGTCTTCAACGGCGATCCCCACCCGGTACGGAGGGAGGGAAGGAAGGAGGGACAATCAGTGAGTTCATGCGCCTTGCGTAGCACCTTCTAGGTCTGTTCAACAACGACTTGCCAAAGCTTTTCCCCTCATCTGCGTCCTTTTGCAGGGAAATATCCTCCTGATGCCCAGTGGCCGGATCGGACTGATTGACTACGGACAGATCAAGAGTTTGAAGCAGGCGCAACGGAAAAGCATGGCTCGCATGATCATCGCCTTGGCAGATGGAAAGAAAGAGGTACCCGTCGCAGGAAATTGCTTATCTTTGGCGACCTCCTCCGTCACTTTTGGCGGAACTTTCTCACAAATTAAAACCCGCTCCGTTCCTCCCTCTTCTCCCGTAGGAGGTGATAGACCTATTCGTAAAGATGGGGTTCCGCTCCAAGCGCATGGATGCAGACGTTATCAACGCAGTCGCTACGCTCTACTTCGACAGGGATGACAGCGAATTTATCGGCAAAGGAGTGAATCTTCAGGTAAGTCGAGTTTGAAAAAACGACAGCCGGCAGGGATGGCTGGCGTGCATCGTTGGACAAGTCATGCGCATGGATAGAGCTAGAGCGGTGATCTAGATTTCCGTCGGTATTTCCTTCGTTAGGTGTATTTCGAGAACCTGCAGAAGAAAGATCCTTTTCTAGCCATGCCAGAGGACTTTGTCATGTGCGGTACGTGCTTTCCAGGAGGATGAAGGACTGCTGTGTACTCCGCGCAAGTACTTCTTGAAGCTTAACCTTCCCCTCACTCTATGATCTTCACAGCTCGAGTCGCTGTGTTTATGCGAGGGCTTGGTACCTTCTTAGATTATCCCATATCCATCGCCAAAGCCTGGCGGCCTCTCGCAGTTGAGGTTCTGAAGGAGAAGGACATTACTGGACTTCTAGCTTAAAAGGTTAAAAAATAAATGGAACGCGAAAATTGCCGAAGCACTAAAGTGAGATTGTGTGTATATTGAAACTCGTGCTCGTACCGCTATTAAAATAATTATGTCGTCTCAAAATACGCAGTAAGGCAAGTAATAGGTCAAGATAGGTAGATAGTCGCGAGGAATGCTGACTGTAATTATCGAAAAGTAGATCCATTCAATGGCACAAAGCTTCATGACCCTTGTGAACGGTCCGCACAGCTTGGTGTATTCTTGTTAATTTCCATGCGCTTTACAGGTCTCTTTTGTCTGTACTGACCAACCAACTCGCTTTCAAGATGTGAGAAAGCGCGATTTGGCAAGCTACCAAAAGAAATGTTATCAAACAAAAAGCACCAGCAAAATTTATGCCCTGCTATTTCCATCCTTTTCTTCATCTCACATATATTCGTTTCCCTTATTAGTACTTTTTTTGAACTAGCATTTGAGCTTCTGGTTCTTTTTAATCTTCGAAGAAAATGCGCGTTTCAATTTGTACGCTAAAGCTTCGTCCCTACCAAGTCCATGTCTTCTCATGATGATGGTTGTATGGCTGTAGTCTTGTGATCAGTCATTTTATCACGATCCTCGGCAACTTTAGATGCGGACAATTTCTGCGTGCGTTCGCCTCGCTACCTCATGCTGTACCTGCGTGTGATGAGTTCAACAGGAAAAACTGAGCGCGGGGAGCACGTGTCCAAGAGTCTTCCAAACAGGATTTCACTGCGGTATTCCAAACATCGTTGTAGATACGAGTAGCGTACCTCAGTCTCAGGAGACATTCTCTCCAGACGCTCAGCTGGCAAGGGGTGAATATGGAGCATCGCGTAGGTGCCACCTCCACCGCCCTTGGTAAGGGTGCCGGGATTGATGCAAAGGGCGCCCCCCACGTCCTTCACGAAAGGAGTGAGCTTAGAAGGGAGGAGGAGGACTGCGGAAAGGGCAGTTTAGGAAAATCAGTCGAACGATGAGTTATCGTCGTGAAATGCCGCTTATCGTCGGCCGCGTCAAAAGGAAATGAACCCTTTTCACGGGTTGTTGTGCGTTATGAAGGGTCATGAAATGGAAAGGAGAGGAAAGATCGAATAACGTACCATCAGGCGTGATGGGCATGCGCCAGTGATCGGCATGACGAAGATCCAGCTATGGTTCAAGGATAGAAAGGATGGATGAGTGATGAGACTTGAATCGTGACATCGCTTGGCAAGCAAGGAGAGAGGAGAGATGCCTGGAAGGAGAGAGGGCTTTGAGCGTGGCGGGCATCCTCCGTGAAGGAACGGCCAGCAGAGAACATACCTGCGCTTGCCCATCTGCCGGTGGCGGGAAAAGGGGGAAGAAACTCTGTTGCTGCAAGAGATGGGCCGCCAGACGCGCCAGGCGGTTCCCGGGATTGTATGAGACCTAGACCGGATGAAAGCGAGCCAACATGTGAGAAGACGACAGGCGACTCTTGCAGGAGCTGACGCACTCTCATTCGGCCGAGGCCTTACCTCATCGCCGGAGAGGTGACAGAGGATGTCGTTGGTAGTGACGCCCACAGCCACCTCGTTGACAGTAAAGAAAGAGGGATTACTCAGGCAGTACAGCCGCTTGTCCGCTCCGTCTTTTTCTGTCGACCAACGGTAAGGTCATGGAGTGGAAAGAAGCGGGATCAGAGAGAAAGAAGGTGTCCGGTGCATGCATGCGAGTTGAAAGAGCGAGGAACAGAAAAGCCTTCGGTCATGGCGCCCAACTCGTTCCTCAATCCGTGCTCTGCCATTTTTCCTTTGTTTGGCACGACTACGCACGTACCGCTTGCAAATGGGAGGCCCAAGTCTCCCAACCGCTCCTCCTCAAACCATGGGGAGGGGACACCGCCGGGAATGCGGTCGGCCAGGGGGGGCTGAAGGGAAGTGGGGAGGGAGACGAGCCGGCGGTGAGAGGGGAGGGGGTTCAAAGGGGAGGCATGGATCCATCCCGGCGCGGACGACGGGCGGCGCGACTTGCCTGGGGGAAGACGTGGTCGTGGAAGACGTCGTTGAGGGAGGGGACCAAGACGATGCGCGAGGCCAAGGTCGG